TTCTTTAATTTTTTAAAAGATGCCTCACCATCATCTGACCAAACAAATGGGACATCTTTTGAAAGCAAATTTTTCAAAGGTCGAGCCAATGCACTAAAGTCTTTAATAAAACGATGATAAAAGCCTGCATGACTAAGAAACGACCTAATATCTTTGATGACTTTAGGCGTGGGAAGGTTGGAAATAGTGATTAACCTTAAATAAGTCAAATTAGTAAAATAAAATAACAAAAAACTATTAATTAGAGTCAATCCGAGTTTGTGCAGTAATTAGGATTTTATGTGTGTTATGTTTAAAATTTTTATAGTTTGATGCTGAATTACCAAAGAATGCAAGGAGCAATGTATAAAAGTTTGAAACAATAAAGGCTAAAGTGTAATTTCTACAAGTAATGAGTTAGCATGCATGCAAGTGGAAATTCCAGCAAGATCCCACCGTCTGAACAGTGCTGATGGCATTCGGACGGTCCCCATTGGCGGCTGAAGTTGATCCTAACACCTCCTGCTTCTTCCTCCTCTATATAAAGCCATGCCTCCTTCATTCTTCATACAGTCGGACACCAAGAGCTCCAGAGAGAAATCTAAGAGAGAAAAAAAAGAAAGAGACAAGAGAAAAGAAAAAGAGAGAGAAAAATTTACAACTCGATCCGATCCGTCATACACTTTAGTTCAAACTCTATACTTCAACATTTCCGTTGTATCTTTCTATTCAGATAGTTGAACTGTCGTCATCTTTTTGTCATAATTGATAATAAATTAATTGTGTTTTAGTTGTTCCTTTTGAAAAAAAATTTAGGGTTTATATTTTAATTTCAGTTGTAATGAAACTGGTCATACTCCTTGCTTGTCTGTAGCAATGGGGCGTGGGTAATTACTTATATCCTCCAGTGAGAGGTAAACATATGTATAATGTTAGTTAAATTCTAGAAATGTTGATGTTTTACATATTTATATATCTATGTGTTATATGTTTCATGCATAATACAGTGATGTACGTAATTTCGGTGATGTGCCTGAAATTATGTCATCAGTGCATTATCCTCCACCGGAACGTTGATGATGTTTAACTAATATATATATATATATATATATATCACAGATGATCTATTGAATAATTCAAGTATTCCTCATAAATGTCTTGTCCTTCTAGTTTGCTTGGATTAGTCAGTTGGCACATCTATAACTAACTAACCTAAGAAGTTGTTGTGTTATGACTTAATACCACCAGTTAACCTAAGAAGTGGTTGTGTTATGCTTTATTGTGTATGCACCTACTATTATGAAATCAATTGAATAATTCAAATATTTCTCATGAATGGCTTTTCCTTCTGGTTTACTTGGATTAATCAATTGTCATGGATACCACTAGCTAACCTAAGAAGTTGTTGTGTGATGGTTAATATACATCAAACCTACTGGTTAACTTGTCAGTAATATGGAAGTTAATTGATATAAGGTAGCATATCCAGTACCAGACCAGTATAACGCATATGGGATCCTTAAACTGAAGGATACTTTTTATTATTGTCTTAATATATCTGCACATAAACGTTTACTTAGACTAGTTATCAATCTAAGTTCATATCACATGCTGTCCTATTTGAATTAACAACTTAACTATTTTTATTTTGTTTCAGCTACAAATTATTAAAACTCTTTGTGGGATCGATACTTGGACTTAAAATTGAGAAAACTACAATTCGACCACTTGTACTTACGTGTATAATGTTAACCCGATCATAAAAAACTGCGAATCAAATAGCATCCACCTTTGATTTGTCAACTTCAATCTTTGCTTGGTTATTTTCCTTGTTATCCCTAACCCCAAAATATCATCCCTCAAAATGTATTTTATATGGATGGAGGGGAGTGTCACTCCCCCTCTAAGTAGTGTCAAAAGAAAGGGCAAGGACATGGGAAAATGGGATGGTGGAAATGTGTTATGTGTATGAACAAAAATGCTCCCCAAGCACAAGGAGATTTTGGTGCATTGTGTTTTACTTGGAGGTACTCCAAGGTCGTTTCTACAGGGATGGATGTAAACCAAAGGGAAGGTGATATTGAGTGAAAGGAAGTGTAAAATCTTTTGTTGTTGAAAGTTGTTTGGTGAAGTGTGTTTTGGTGAAAATGAAATGAGAAACAAACGTTGGCTAATCCAAGAGGTCACTCCAATAGGGATACCATCTCAACTCGAATCCCTCCTCTGATAGAGTATAAATGTACAATTGATTTGTGGGAAGCTATGGACTAGATGGGTGAGTATCTAAGAATAAACCATGATTAGGCCTACGGAATATCAAAGACTTACCAACTTATCCACCCTCAACCCAATCAAACTGAACCATTGAACTCTGAAAGAAGGGAGGAGAATGAGTTGAAATGGCATCCCCAAGTGGAGGTTCCCCTTGGTTTTGCCAACTAAAGGATTTAGCTACTCATGCTTGGGATGAAATTAACAATGAAATGAGAATGCATTGCAAAGGAATGAAGTTCTTGAGTAACTAAATGCAAGCAAACATAAGTTACAAGTGAAAGCAATGAATACCCATTTTATAGCTAGGAAGAATGAAGAATAGAAATGCATTAATGGTGAAAGCTTTAAAAGGGAATTAAACTTGCAATGAACTTGTAGGAACTAACATTAATGACATTAAATGAAGTGCTCAAGATTCTTCTTGGAGATTACATTACAATGTATTGAAGAAAATGTAAAAATCCCAATTTATCTCTCTAGAATACTATTCATCATCTTCTCCAGACTCTCTCTCTCTCTATATATCTCTGTGTAATGTATGCAATCTGAATAATGGAGTCATTTTCTCCCAAAAAACATCCATAGTCTGCTCCCTCAGCTTAGTGATGTGATCCCCCTCATAGGGACTGCATGGTGTAGACTAGGACCAGCCTCCACTCTTCTCTCTTCCAAGCTTCTTCTCTCTCCTCCTCATTAATGCCCAATCATCATCAAAACCAAGTAAAGGTGAGGAAGGCCTCTTTGATGTGTAAGGAATGTCAGGAGACTTGATGGAGTAGTGTAAGTGGGAGCCCCAAGCTGCAGAGTTGAGTTACAGGCTGTCTGAGGAAACTAGCAAAAACCTTCCGGAAGGTTTGTGTAGGAACAGTTAAATGAAGGGGTCAACAGGAAAAACCTTCCAGAAGGTTCATTATAGTAGACAAAACCTTCCAGAAGGTTTCACTTCAGTGGACAAAACCTTCCAGAAGGTTTTCGACTAACTTGAATTTTCTTGGTTTTTCTTGGTCTCTTATCCCTCCAAACCTTCCTTTAAGCTACCCCTTCCTCATCATTGACCTCACCCACTTCAATGGGGATTTAGCTCATGTCATTTATATCATTTTACCTACATTCACACAAGATTTCATCAAAACGCAAGTTAAACCCAATTCTCCCCAGTTTTATGACAAAAGCAAGTATAAGAGGCATATTAGTGCACAATATATGTCATGTTTTTATGCTAATCACACCGCCCAACTTGAGCCTTGCTAGTCCCTGGCAAATATTATTTCCAACCACAAGCAATAAGTACATAACCATTCATCCATAAAACTAAATATCACAACAAGCAAAAATCACAACAATTCGAAATCCAAAAATCACATTGCAATTAAGGGAATAACTTTGAGCAACGATAAATAACCAATTGTGGTATTTCATTAATTACTTTCAAAAAGTTCTTTACAATGTGTTCAAAACCCCAAGCAAAAGACGGCCAANCAATTGTGGTATTTCATTAATTACTTTCAAAAAGTTTTTTACAATGTGTTCAAAACCCCAAACAAAAATAACCAATTGTGGTATTTCATTAATTACTTTCAAAAAGTTGTTTACAATGTGTTCAAAACCCCAAGCAAAAGACGGCCAAAATCTAGAGGCACCTCTACAGGCCGACACCAAAATAAACCCTAACTACGTATGATCATAGTTCACCACAACCCAAAAGTCTCAGTCCTCCTCCCCTCAAAAGCATCCTCATTATCAGTCTCGAACTTGGACTCTGACTCCTCCTCGTCCTCGCCATCCATTTCAACAATCACTGAGGGTATGGGAATAGAGGCTGAAGGTCCAGCCAAAGGCTGTGGGGTGGTGGTCCTTCGGGGACAGGCCTTCCCGGGAAAGTATGCTAGAAAAGCTGCAACATCATCTCCAAAATCCCATGCACTGTCGACTTCAAAACATCCATGTGCTGCGACATTGTGCGAGCCGGGGCAGGTTTAGGTAGTGGAGGTACTGCAGATGATGTTCTCACATCAGATGGTTATGCCCTTGGAGCCCCAACTCCCTCACGCCCAGTCCTAGAAGCCCTCTTCAAACTGCTGGACTTCCATATGGCTCCGGTCTCTAGGGGGAATAGTGTATCATGAACATATTGCTTCATGTAGGTTTGGTCACACAACTTAGTGACGAGGCTCCCAAAGGGAATATTTGCCTTTGGCTTTGCAGCCCAGGCAAACTCCCTCATCTCTAACAAAATGAAATAAGCCACATCAATGGCAACCCCAGTCATGAATGCATGTAGTAAAGCCAACTTGTCCTTGTTTGGGTTCTTCTCTAAACCCCGGGGCATTAAATTATAATGCAGCACCTTATTTATGATCCCATATGCATGCTTGAGGCTTCTGACCAACGTCGATCCCGTGAACATATTTGGGTCCCCATAAATGAGGTTTACGTAATCCTAGAGGGTCCTACTCTCTTCCACATTGTGTGGGTAGACTGGGGTGGATGCAGGAGGCCTCGCATACCCCATTGTCATGGCGATTATGGTAGGGGTAACCTTGAATGTCTTCCCTCTCACATTCGTCCTCAGTTTACCCCTATTTATCACCAAAAACAAACAACTTCTGATAAAATTTGCGAAATATCCCCAGGTTGTATCCCTTGACTTCATCAAACCAATAATTCAATCCCCATTCTTCAATGATTCTCACCACCTCATTCGAAGGTCTAAGAGTGATCTAGTCGACATATCTCTCACATGTCACCCCCTTTTCTTCAATCCTCTGCCTTCTAGCTTCATGTCTTGCCTTTGTCCTCCGCTCCTCCCTATCATGGGAGCTAGGACCTTCTTCGATCCTTTGCCGAGAAGTAGAGCCAAAGGGGGTGGAGATATGGGCCTTGTCTTCTTCTTTCGGGTCATAAGGTACAACAGTGCCCCAAGACCAAGAACCATCATGCACCACCACCCTAAACTCTCAAAAGGCTCCCATATTCCCATAGTTGTTCCATTTAACCGAGCCATCGCATTGAGTAGAGGGAATTGAGAGGGATTAAAGGACAACTGAGAGTTATGACCAAGTATTAAGAACTAAGGTTTATGAAGAGAACTCGGCTAAATCCTACTATATCGCACCCCTAATCAATAGAAGGTAGGTAAATTGAGGTTTGGAGGAACTAAATTAAAGGTTAGAAGAGAGTAGGAGGAGAGGATGGGGTTTAGGCTGATATGATTTGGGGGAAAATGAAGATATTTTCGAAAAGATCTAATTTAAAACCCCCATTTTTAGGTTTCTAGGCAAAACGTTCCAGAAGGTTAATAGAAACCTTTCGAAAGGTTTTGCTCACTGGACAAGATCTTTCGGAAGGTTTTGCCTTTGCTGCAAAACTAATCCTTTGTTCAAAATTTCACATCCAATCCATCCTTTCTCCATTCCAAAACCTTTTAGCACATTTTCAAGGTTATCTTACCTACCAAAAACTTGAACCACATCTATGGACCACAATTTTAATCATGCCCAAAGTCATTTCCGCAATTGTAACATGATTTAAGATTTTGATATTACTACACATGAAGCATTGGTTTCAACCTAAACTACCAAAATGAATACCCAACATGTAAACACGGATTCAAACAACACAGGTATTCCTAAGCCTTTTCAAATATCAAAAACTTGAGGAATGTTATTCCATTCTACAAGCATGGAGCTATTTAACACATTTCTCAGATGATTGAACTAAGCACACATGAGCAAAACCATGGTCTCAAATACTAGTCTAAAGTATGCACCTACCCATTAATTTTCAAACTCATGTGTGTGTGAATTGAACAAGTAATTGGAGCATTTACACAACGGAATTCACATTCAAATAGTGATTAACCCTAACTACGACATAATTTAATAGGTAAATTGTGTTAGTTAAATAAAGTTAAACTAGTCAAAATAAATCAAATTAGGGTTAGTGTGTGAATAAAGGATAATGCATTAATTGTTGTTCTTTTCAGGATTTTGTGCATCAAAGCTACAAACTACTGGGGAGCCAATTGAATTAAAACTACAAACTACTGGGGTGCCAATTATCAAAGCACAAAGCAAAGGGGGATCAAAGAATTCAAGGCCACCAAACAAGACTTTCATGTAATTCAAGTCCACCAAACAAGACTTTCATGTAATTCAAAGCCACCAAACAAGACTTTCACCCTCCCTTGTTGCCTATAAATACCACCCCTTAGAACTTGTAAAGTATTCATCTTTTGATAGTGGAAAACCCTCCAAAAGTATTATTGTTTTCCTTATTGCTTATTGTTTTCTTTAAGTATTGCTTTCTTTTATTGTATTATTGCTTCCTTTTAATTTATTGCTTTCTTTTACTTTAAGTATTGTTTTCTTTTATTGTGTTATTGCTTTCTTTTACTTCATTACTTAAGCTTCCTTCTTCCCTTAGAGGAGTGAAACTCTTCCACTTTTCTAGAGCTTTACCAAAGCCATGAAGGGTGGAACATGATTCACTCATTCTTTGTCAAAGATCAGCTCCTTGTGTAAAGTGTTTTACCTTGTAACTCGTCTACTTGGAGGGATGAGCATCACTCACTTTTCTAGCTTTAACAAAACCATGAAGAGTGAGTAGTTTCTCATCTAAGCTTTAGTAAGAGGTGATTATCGAGAAATTATATTTATGCATTTTGTTTATGCTTAGCTATAGTCTTTATTTCTTCATAATGTCTTCTCATCATATTGTTGTCTTTATTTTAAGCATGAATAGCTAAATCTCTTAGTTGGCAAAACCAAGGGGAACCTCTACTTGCGTATACCATTTTCAACTCATTCTCGTCCCTTCTTTCAGAGTTCAATGGTTCAGTTTGACTGGATTGAGGGTGGATAACTTGGTGAGTCTTTGATATTCTATGGGCCTAGTCACATTTTATGCTTAGATACTCACCAATCTTATCCCTAGCTTCCCACGAATCAATCATTCATTCATGCTCTATTGGAGGAGGGTTTCGAGTTGAGATGGTATTCTTATTGGAGCGACCTCTTGGATTTGCCAACATTTGTTTCTCATTTTACTAGCATCAAAAAAACTTCCAATAATCAAAGATTTTACACTTTCTTTCTCCCAAAATCACCTTCCCCTCGGTTTACTTCCTTCCCCATGGAAACGACCTTGGAATACCACCAAGTAAAACATGATCCGTGAAAGTCTCCTTGCACTTGGGGAGCATTTTTGTTCACACACTCACACATTTGACATTTCATTCATCCAGCATTTTGTTGCCCTTTCTTTTGACATCATCCCAAGGAAAATGACACTCCCCTTCATCCATATACTATACATGCTAAAAGGTGATGTTTAGAGGTTAGGAAACAACAAGGAATTTTTTCAAGCATTTTTGGCGCCGTTGCCAAGGAAGGCAAGTGTCAAACCAAGAAGGTGATTTCTGGACGACGAAGTAAGTCCCATGATCTTCATCATGGGCTAAGGTACGTTGTTCCGTGTACATAATCTTATTTGTGTATAATTTTGTTTATATATATTTTGTTTTATGTGGAGGCAAAATGACCGAAACTGACTTGTGAGACAAAACTTGGCCCCTACCATGAATATTGACCAAGAATAACCCGAGGATGCGGGTGACAATTTTGACAATATAGGTGCAAATCCAAATGTCCAAAGGGGTATAAATCCAAATGTCCAAAGGAGTGGGGGACCACAAGAACCCCAAATACCCAATCGAAGAATAAATTTTCCCCCTCCCGTGAATGAGGGGAATAATTTTCAAAAGGATCCCCCGGTGAGGTCAATGAGGGATTTCCTACAACCAACACGAAGCACCACACCATCATGCATCCTCCTTCCGGTCCAAGCTCATCTTTCCATAGTTAAGCCAGGAATGTTGCAACTTTTTCCCACGTTCAACGGACTAGAAACTCAGAGCCCCTATTCACACATAAGGGATTTCGAGGAAATAGTTACAACCTTCCTCCCCAATCATGGGATGAAAGAGATAGCTAGAATGAAATTATTTCCCTTTTCCCTAAAAGACAAGGCAAAAACGTGGCTTATTTCCTTAAGGCCTCGAACCATCACATCGTGGAGCCAAATGATTTCTGAGTTTTTGAACAAATTCTTTCCGGTGCATAAAACCACCACACTAAAAAAGCAAATTAAAAACTTTTCGAAAAAGCCCAATGAGTAATTCTATCAATGTTGGGAGAGGTACAAGGAATTGCTACAATCCCTTCCACATCATGGCTTTGAACCATGGCAATTGGTGAGTTTCTTTTATAAAGGAATCACACCGGGCCCTCGATAATTCATTGACATGATGTGTAATAGGTAGTTTTTGAGCAAAGACCCTGATGAGGCCTTAGATTACTTTGATACATTGGCACAAAATACACAATCATGGGACATTACACATCCCACCGATGTACCAAGCTCTTCTCCTCAAAGGAGTGGCCAAACTCAAGGGGGATGGATTTATGATTTGAGAGACTGGGAAGACTTGTTTTCAAAAATTGCTAAATTTTCAAGAAAAGTTGAGAGTCTTGAAGTCAATAAGAGACACGAGGTGTCTAATGTGTGACGAACCAAGGAGGGTTATTTAATTTGTGAATGTATGGAGCATTCCCTACCGGATTGCCCAAACATTAAACTTGCTTTGATTAAATGCAACTAAAGTAATCTATTGACATATCCCACAGGAAACCTTTGCATGCTACACATACATAGGCACGTACTTGAGAAAGGATTTTAGGCCATCTTTGAGTTGATTTTGAGGCTTAGTCATTGCTTCTACAAAATTATATCCCTAGTTAGCCATGTTTGAGCCTTCAATGAATGATTTCTTTTTCAAAAAAACCTATATGATAATCGAGCCATAAGAAAATATACTTAACATACCTTGTTATCCAATTTTTTTGTACCCTCTTATAAATCAGTATGATACAGAAAGGCAAGAAAAACAAAAAAGAAGACGGTGACTACTGTTCAATGAAGAATCGATGGCAACAACCGAGAAAGAAAAATAAACAAAAAAATAGGGAATTGCCAAGAAAGTGAAAAATGAGAAAAATGAAAGAAATAAATACCATTTATAGGCAAAAGATCGAAAAGCAAGAAAGAGGTGTGCTACACTACATTAAAAAGGGGATAGCTTTTGAATACCACTGACGTCATTTCGTTACCCACTGACCTCTGGCCACATTACAACCCATACGAAGTGCTAATTGATGTCAAGTCTGATGCATGTGTGTGTTGTCGATCGAAAACTAGGGTATGTTAAATAGTATTTCTTTAATTGCATTGATATTCTTCCATGAGATTATGCCAAGAACATGATTAGTTTCTTAAGACTTTCACTCCCTTTCTAACTGTGCATGTGATTTTTTGATTGACCATCCTCTGATCACATGCCCTTTGAGAGACAAGTCACTATAATCGGAGTGAATTTTTTGTTGAGAGCATTCTAAGAGAGGTTTGAGAAATCAAAGCTATCCATGGAAGGTGATAAAGTGGAATGTTTGTTATATAACAATTCTTGCTACTAGAATGATCATTCCTACTACATAGAGAATTCCAAATACCAATGTAAAAAGTGTTTAATTTTGTATAGAGTATGTACTAATGATAGAGAAGTGTTCAGGAAACAATTCAAAATTAAGGGATGTGTGTCTCAACGATCCTGTTGCCAACTCATTCTGACAAAAAATCTTACATATACACATCTTTTTAATTGGAGTTTGTAGGTAGTTTCACTGGAAACCTTCACGAGACAAAACTCATCCACTGGGGATCACCTAGGGGTTTAACGGCTTGTTGCATATGCTAAATGCAATCGTGTTATCTACGAAAATGGTTTTATTTTGTTATGTTGTTATTTATTACTAGGGACTAGTAATGTTTAGGTTAGGGGGTGTGATTAACCCTAATTAAGGCATAATTTAATAGGTAAATTGTGGTAGTTGAATAAAGTTAAACTAGTCAAAATAAATCAAATTAGGGTTAGTGTGTGAATAAAGG